AAATCTGTCAGCAAACAGAGAACGAAACAATGGCTCTCTTAAGGCCTACAGAAGGACTTCTAAACTCCTGAAGGTCGAGCAGTCTTGGACCATATCCCAGACGTGGGAAGAACATCATTTCACCATAAACTGGTCACAACCAGTAGCCAAGGTTTTAGACAGAAGAGTGAAAAGAATTATCAACAGAATTGTCCAAGAGCCCAGGACCACTTATTGAGAGGTACAGAACAATCTGAAATCACCAGTTACAATTGTTTTAAAGAAAACAATAAGTAATGTATTCAACTGCCATGGCCTGGATGCACACTTACCATGCAAAATTCCATTCATTCATTCATTCATTCATTCATTCATTCATTCATTCATTCATTTCATTTCATTTCATTCCTGAGCAATGAAAACACTTTCACTTTGAAAATTGATAACATGTTCAATATGCATTTTACCAACTGTATTATTTCATTTTGTAATGTCAATCTAAAACTGCTATTTTTTTCCTTTCCCCACTTTGCTTTTAAGTGTTTTACCATCACATATGATTAAGCAAAAGCAACATGCATGCACCAGTTGCTGCTATTACCAAGCCTGGCCAATGCAGACATGCTGACTGTTTCAATGTGGAACCGCCTATAAAATTCAGCTCAGTAGCACACAAAACTACAAAACTACAAAACTACATTGTTGTTTGGTATATTTTATGCAGTCAAAAAAGTTTGACATTAATTTAGCAAATCTACTGGCCATATATGCAAGTTACTGTGTGGCCTAAATGTGTGATCACTAATGGCCAGGCTTGGATTATAGTTTCAGGTAATGGTTTTGCTTCTGTACTGAATCAAGCTTGTTAAAACCGTGCAGGACTCTGATATTTGTTCTCTAATAGAAATGATATAGCCTTCATGTTTTTGCAAAAAGTGCTTGGAAGCCAGATCCAATTACAAGTGCTGATTTAAAATCCCAGGTATGAACTAGAGCTGGGCGATATGAGATTTTTCATATCACGATATGTTTTTTTCATTTCAGGCGATAACGATATATATCACGATATAAGCCAAATAACT